GTACTGTAAGAATGTTGACTTTAATTAGGATTAATGGATGCTATGAAATGCACAGGAAAACAAGCTGCATCTGGAAACTTAAAAGGAGTAAGGGCTTGGGACAGAGTATGATATACAGTAGGACTGAATATGATAAACAGTCGACTAAAAATCTTGGAATTTGCACCTCCTTGTCTTTTGTAGATTAAACAAGTAACCAAGACATTGTGGACAATTTCTTTTGCAGAGGTTGTTTTTTGGTAATTGTATAATATATCGCTTATGTATTTTTATGATTGCCATTAATTGCTATAATTGCTATCCCTGTGTGATATTGTTGAAAAACATTAACACTCTAATAACACCTTTCTTTATCCATGAAACCATAAAAGGGGATATGTGAAAAGTTGGATGGGATGCAGAAGAAAGATCTAGGCTGACCCTAAAAGCTGTTACTGAGAGCAGGAAGGGGGGCTACAATTTGAAATAGATAATAAGGTTAATTAGAGGAGCAAGAACATTTGATGGTCAGTAGCACTGAAAGGAAAAGAATCTAGTACTTTCTTCTGGAATGGAAAACACACAATTTTCTTCTTTAATTGCAGGCTGTATTCTCTTCAGAACATACACCAAAGCTTTCAAATGGAGATGTGAAAGCCTGAGGAGAGTTGTGTCTGGTGTGCTCATTTCTTATTTAATCTCATAAGGACACAAAAAGCAGTTATATTAAAAAGAACAGGAATTTCTTCTCTCAATGTAATGAGAGGGGTGAAAAACTGTTTATTTTCCAGCAAGTTTATTGCAGAGTGATTTGAACATGAAGAAATAGAAAACATTTTGACTTAAACTGAAATACTGTTAAATGCTTGTTACTAAACCATTTTTTTTTAATTACAGAGTAGGCTTTATTTCTCCATGGACAAAAAAACCCAACCAGTCCTCAACTATTCTTACTTCTTCCTTCTGTTCAGTAAAGTAGGAAAGTAGCAGGAGAAATGATAGACAGTACTGAATTACTGTGCAAGACTATACTGCCATCGAGAGGTGTTGGGTGATATCATACCAATTGCAGAGTTGAAGAAACACAAAAATGGGGGAAAACCCAGCTTCTTTTTAAAAATTCACATTTGTTTGGGTGCATAGCTAGCTGACTTTGTTAAAGTACATTTAAACGCATGCAAATTTCTAGTTATGCTTGTATGAATTGGATCACAGTGATATGTCCCTTTTATTTTCTTGCTCTAAGTCAAACTACTATAAATGCTTGTGATTAGGTCAAATGTTAAATTCTTTCAGAATAATATGGGCCCTTTGAGATAATTATCTATGCAGTACCTCTGGTTATCTACGCCTATAAATATCTCAAAGTTGTAGTTTTTACTTTAATCACATGATAATAACTGAAAAGTAATAGATTTACTTATACAGTCAGATCATTTGTTTAAAAAATGATTGGAAAATGTGATAAAGAATTCAGAGTTGAGGGTAGCCAGGTTTGTAACTTCAGTACAGAAAAATTTTGTTACTGGGAACCATCTGTATTAAACATTTGATGTATTTGATTTTTCTGACACTTACTGGAGAAATCATTAAGCTTGAGCAACCTAAGCTTAAATGGTGTTTATTCAGGACAAAGGAAAAAAAAGCACTTTTCAAATTCTTCCCTTTGGAAGTGTATTTAAAAGTCTTATAACTAAATACATTTTTTACTGCAAAAGCTATAAAACCAGAAGGAAGTATTCTTCAACTTTTGGCCAAACAAAATGAAGGAACAGGGTGATACAATGTGCTGAGGATGTTTTGTCTGGTTTTTTTTTTCCATACCAGTTCATATCAGTACCTTGAAAAGACTGGAAAAAAACAGATTGATAAGATTTCTTTCATTGCATTCACTCAGCAAAAATTGAGAAAGGAGACAGAAGCTGTACTATTGTGATTCAAGCTACTGATTTGGAGATGAGGATATCTGGAGACTCTTACAAGTTGTGAATGTTTGAGCAGGGAGGAAATGCACACGCTGGTCATACAATTAAACTGTCTGCCTCAAAACCCCTTCTTATAAAACCAGATTCATTGTACTTTCCTCACAGAAGCACTGGGAGGAAATAAATTAATATTTATGAGACGCTTGCATTACTGTGATGATGAATAACACAATAGGAGTTACCAGAACTAGATAAGCAAGAAATCATTTCATTAGAGAGTACAGTAGCCATCTCCGGTTTGCTTCCCCCCCCATTTTGAGAGCAAGGAGCTGCGGTTTCCAGCACAGATGCTCAAATAACAGAATGATCAAAGCTCCCCACCGAGACACTGTACTTGTTACCACTGGAACTGCCTCTGCACAGGCTGATAAACCAGCCTTCCTCTGCATCACAAGGCAGGCAGGTGGTAAAACACTCCTACTGAGACCTCTGTCAGGTATTGTCTGCCTCGGCGCTCTCAGTTATTCTCCGTTTGTTTGATTTTGATCTCAGATCAAATTCAAAGCATGGCACAGGTTGTTCAGGGAGTTCTGGGATAGTATCTGGACAGTCTGGAAACACCTCACTGGAAATGACCACTGTCTCTCTTCAAACCTGCTGTGTGGGCAGCAATATTGATAGTCCTTTTAGTGCTGTGTGGTGCATGAAGGTCTCTGTTTTAAAACTTTGAATGTAGCGAGCTTGGTTGCATGAAGTAGGTAAATAATAGTATCTGTGTTTTTTAATAGCAAGCTGAAGCAGAGGAAGTCATGTGTGATTTAGCCAGAGCAGCAAATGTCTAATGCTGGAAGTGTCTGCACAGCCAGGCTGGACATGCAGACATAGGCATTTATATGCACTTCCTAGCACCTGAAGTACTTTCCATCTGTTTGTTGAAATTATATTGTATTGAAATAATTTGCCATTATTCTCCTTTTAAATCAGAGATATCGTTCCACTTCCTTTCTTTATAATGGCATTCACTTATAAACATTTTTATAGATTTTTAAATTGTTCCATGTTTTGGTTCACTAATAGTAATAATAATACTAATTTTGTACTAATACTTAATTTTGTTGTAATCTTTTAAAATTTAATATGGTTTTCCTGTAGTGAAAATTAAAGGAACATTTCTCATGGAGTCATGGCACAATGAACTGCAGGAATATCATACTGAGGGAATACAGTTTAATTCTGCTAGTAGATCAATTGATACGAGTTTTTAAGTAATGTGTTTTAGAGAATGGCTCTTGTATAAGAAACTTGCATATGAACATTATCACCTGCAATTCAGAGTTTATCATTTTTAAGAAGAAAATATATATGTTGGTACGGGGGAATGCCTAATAATTGCAATATTTACACCAAAATTTTTATTATATAGGAATATGCAATTCACCAAAGAACCATTCCAGGATTCTTTTTTATTTGAGACTTAGCAAGATGAGTAGACAAGTAAAAGAAAGATTTTTTTTTTTTGAGTGCTTACTTGCTTAACATGTTCCAGTTTAAGTGCAAAACTTAAAGCAGCATATGTGCTAAATAATTTATCAGTCTAATTTTTGATGGCAACAAGAATAGCAGTTTTATATATACCAGGATTCTGGTTTGGTAAAAGCAGTAAAATTAAATTATGCCAATTTGAAAGTCAAAACCAGTTGAGTTACACAAGAGTATGCTTTTCCTGGTCAAAATAGGAAACACTTAGGATATTTTGGGGGTTATGTAAAGACTTTAATTTGTAACCACATTGTATATGCTCACTCCAAGCAGTAGGCAAGAATAGTTGTTCATGTGATTTACCATTTCTTCAGCACATTATTTGAACCATATTACTGTGCATAATTTTTATTTTGAATGATAGTTAATCTTTACAATTAATTCTTTTAACACTGGGGTAATTTTAAAAATACATGCACATGGTGTTTGCATACTAGACATCACTACATGCAAATGCTTTTAAATGGTTATTTTATTTTAGTCATTACCTTCTAGAACAAAATAGTTGTTTTCTTGTTGGGAGGGCAAGGGTTGCCCTTTCTATAATTCGTGTGATTTGAGAACGTAGAGAAGAGCAGAGCTGTCATGCCACAGAATTACATACTTAACAGAAGTTAGAATGACATTTTGTTGAATTTGAGCCAGAAGGAGTTTGAATGAATATTTTTTAAATACACTTAGGTAACCTTCACATTACCTTTTTTTCTGGTTGCAGATTTTTAGCTCAGGATCTGTCAGTGTAGCTGAAAGGTTATGCCCTAAGTTACATATGATGAATGAGATGAACTTTATGAGAACCAGAGGGAATCCAAAATGCATGCCACCATTGTGTTTTAAAGCAGACTTTCAGAATCAATTGAGTGGTGTCTTCCCAACAAATAGAGACTGACACATTGAAAACATTTAGTGGTTCTTGATTAATAGAATCCTTCAGTCTCTAAACCTTCTTTTCTTTAATGCCTGGTACCTAAATAATGACGTAGAGTTCAGATTCTGGAATCAAACAGCATTTAATGGCACTGAAACTGGTAGTTCAGAGGGTTTTTTTAAAAAGCACAATATACTTGCAATTCTGTTCATTGGAATCCATGCATTCCTTGTTATATGAACTCATGTCAAAATTGGGAAACGTTTCTGCCAGTTTCTACTCTTCAACAGTATGTTTTCACTTTCTCTATACTGCACATCACAGCTGCTTTACTAGTTACTAATTTTTCCTTTTACTTCATTACTTGTGTTATAGTGTTCTTGGTTTGTCAATATTGCATAACTTTGTGTTGGAGAACGTGTTGTTGCACAAAGAATTGAGCTAGTGTCTCTCTGATGTACTGCAGTGTCCTGCAGTGGCTGACCTGCTTCCTCTCTGTTTTTCCTGATGACTCATCTCGTGGGGGAGTAGGTTTCTTACCTTGTGAGATGCACTAATACTGAATCTCTTGACTGCTAATAGCTTAACAGAGTGCAGCAAGATTGAAAATGTCATATCTTGAATGTAACAGGATGCACATTGCAAATAATGTAGCAGGTTAATATATTGATTTCTGCTTTTAATTTCAGGCTGGAGGTTCTCAAGTAATCTTTACCAATCCACTGGAAATTGTCAAGATTCGATTGCAGGTGGCTGGAGAAATTACTACTGGTCCACGAGTTAGTGCCCTCAGTGTATTAAGGGACTTAGGTTTCTTTGGTCTCTACAAGGTATGCTTTTTTTAAAATGTTAAAAATAAGCCTATTATAAATTTTCAAATCAACATATAATTTCATTGTTCTCACAAATTTTCATAGGTGGACACAATTTTACATTCTAAAAGAAAAAGTACTATGTGATCTTATAGTTCATTTTTCATTTTTGATTAAGGGAAGAAACTGCCTCATCTTTTTGAGCATATGATTTTTGTAAATCTTACTGAGATTTCTTTTCTCACTTCAGCAGGTTTAAGGTTCATTGAATATTAGTTTGTGATTCCTGATATTCTGTCTACTGTAAAAAAAAAAGCTTATTTTCATCTGCTACATGGTATAGACCTTACAGTTTTGGAACTTGCTTTTGCTATTCTGTAGTTGATTCAGCAACTTTCCCAGATGTCATCGTTCATTTGGTGATGGGAATTAATTGCAGCACAATAATAGTGAAGAAATACAGACAGTGGGAGCCCAGCATAAAAATAAACTCCTAAAGCAAGCTTCCCCTTGCTTCTTTAGAAGAATATTTTCCCAAATAATACCATGAAAAGCTGCCTTTGTGAGCATATGCTACAGACCCTACAGTTCTGCTTGCTGTATTACTGTTTTCACATAGATACATAAATATGTAGGAGTCGTTAGGTTTAATGTTTGCAACAGGAATGAAAACATCTTCTGAATGTTGAATCTAATAGGATATATGCTACAAATAATTTAAGGGATTGACATACTTTTAGGATGTCTTCTACTTTCAGATGGAGGAGATTAGGTATGGGGGAATATGAAAGGTCTTGAAGTACTTTGAGATAACCACTATACTCAAGTATTGAAACAAATATTGTAATGGATACCATATACTGCAGAGCAACGGGTGGTATTGCTTCAGACTCTGCAGCCTACAACTCGGAAGAAAGCTTGCATACTTCCAGTTTGTCCCAGGATTTCCAGTGAAGCTGGCAGTATTCCTCTGTTTCTTATTTACAGCAGTCCAGCCACAAATTGAAGATGCTTCAAAAGACACCAAATGAGCCCCATCACCCTCCTCCTCAGTATTTAAATTCCTTCTGCTTTTTTAAGCATCCAGTCTTTTAAAATTGTTCTGTTAACATTACAAAGAGGGAGCCTGCCCATGAGAACGTGTCTGTATGTTTTGGCCTGGAGAGAAGTTGCAGGTCTGAATAGGATTTAATGGGGAGTTGTTTTTCCCTTTAAATTGACTTGCTAATTTTTTAGGTGTTTTAGTGAAGCTGAGGCTATTGTGTAAACTCCTAGTAAATAGCATTGCTGTGTTGATCAGATTAACATTTACAACTGAAAACAGGGATTTTGTAAAGAGTCTGCTTCCCTGAGGCTGTGCAGGAATGGAGGTCAGCTACTGACTTTTACTTGGACTAGCAAAAAGGAAACACAAAATGAAACCAATGATGAACTAGTTTACTAAAGTAGCAATTTTTGAATTTTTTTCTCCCTGAATACCTGCTCCTGGTGGTTGAGCAGAATTTGCTACATTTTTCCATTTTTAATGGCATTACTGTCTTGGATTGTATTGTGAATTATTTCTATCCTCTAGAGTAAATCCTGGTGAACATAAGTCAGGACTGCACATGAACAGGAGCTACGTACAGCACTATGTTGCGTTGAAAGAGATAATTATTTAATCACAAGACACAGTTTCAGTGCTTCATTTACTGAGTCCATTTATGTTATGAAAAGTGAGTAGCGATTTCTCAGAATTTACCTTCACCAAAAAAAAAAAATGCCACAGAAGAGTTTGGATTTGTTTTTACTCAGCTGTTGTGTCAGTTTCTGTTTCTCTCAACCCCTCCACTCCACTTCCTCTGTTCATGTCCTTTTGCATGTCGTTAGGATTTATTGCCTACAAAAACTTGAGAGATTTGACAAAACTAGAGAATTTATCCTGGCAATGACAGGCACCCACTGAGCCCAGACCATATCACAAGGCTTGTGTCCAAGGGCACCCTTAGTCACAGATAGGTCTGTAATTGGGCAGCTTTGTGCTCTTTTCTACCAAACATTTGGGACTGCAACCAAAAGAAAATTACAATCCTATCTGCCCCCTTTCCTGTCAGAGCATTTGTGCACCCACATAATGATCTGGAACAAGAAAGGCATTAAAGCCTCCTCCTCCTTAGGGCTTAGTTTGTTTTGAACCCAGAGCAGCTCACTCTGTAGCCCCTCAGGAGGGTGGTACCCAGTCAAAGGGAGAATTGGCTGTGCCATGGGGACCCAGCCTGTCTCAAAATAAATTTTAAACTGCCTTGAGGTGCTTGTGGAGCTGCAGTGTTGGAGGCAATAGCAGCCGTCTCCTGAATGCTTGTGCTGGAGCTGGCAGTGTTTGTGAGGGCAGGCAGATATTGAAAACTCATTGCATCAGTCATCAGCTCCAGCAAATGTTACCCAGAGACATCAATGGTTTTAAATGAATTTCAGATGAGACTAGATTTTGTAGGTGCTTCCTTCTTTGGTGGTGCTTCTAAATTAATTTACTATGTATAGTGACCAAGTGGACATCAAAAATAATGAATCTTCTGCTAATGAGAACCGAAATATCTTGGTATGTTTGGAATGTTCATACTCTTAACAAGTCAAATTATCTTTAAACTATGAAATAGGAATGAGGATTTCATGACTATCTCAGTACTTCTCATGTTGTTCACTCTAACAACTCTTTCATTTGCATCTGAAGTCTTTGCTTTAGCTTTGTCTTTCCTGTCTCAAGACACAAGGCTTGTATCTCAAGCCCTTAATGTACCTGCTTTAGTGGACCTAGTTATGACTCCATAGATACTGCCGTGGAGGAACAAGAATAGATAGTTATTCTAGAAAATAATTTTATTTGGGAATCTTGAAGTTCCTTGTAGGCTCAATGAGCCTTCATGTAAGTATTCCAGCTGTTTAAACACTTGTCTGTCTTAGCCACAACTTAAACTTTAACTGATTGACTTCCTTCTGCAAGTGTTGAAAGCAGAATTTTAGACTTTTAATTTCAGGAATTTTAATTTTAAATAAATGAATGTCTTTTTTGGTTTTAAGTTTTATTTACCGCATGGCAAGGATTGCAGTGAAAATTCTCCTTTCCTAGTTCAGAGAAAAGTCATGCCTGACAGCTGTTCTTACTTCTACAGATCCATCTGGCATATTCTGCTTAGTTTCCATGAGTTGTTTATGCTGAAATTCAGGTGAAAATCTGTAAGAGTCCCATATCGTAGTCAGCAAGGAAGAATGTATTAATTATTAGTGCAGCCAGAAGATGTGAAGAGTTTGTCTTAACTTCATGAGGCAAATTCCTGCATGTCTTAACAAGATGTGCTGCTTGTTATTTGAATTCTTATATTTTGTATTATTTTCTACCTATGAAGCACTTCCTGTGGATTTTAAAATAAAATGCCCACACCCCCCCCCGATATAGTTAATTTCAGCACTCCTGTCTTGCATTAACAGAGAAAACCAAGGCACAGACAGATAAATCTTATGTCTCATGTCAACAAATTAACAAAGGAAATGTAAACCCTCTTTGCATCCAGCTGAGTGAATCTTGTATTGATTATGATCATAATTATCCCTGCATTCTAGTCCAAATGCATATCCTTTGAGGATCACTGAGAAGAGGCTGGATTGCATCGTTTTGGTGCCCTTCTGTATAAGTGAGAGTAATAATTCTTTTGAGTAATTCATTGGCATGTGAATGTGCCACTTTACTGTGCTACTGACAGAAACAATTCACAGGAGTACTATGCTGAGATCTCTGCTCTGTGCTTTCTCTACTTGCAGACTTGATGTTAGAATAATTTTTGTTGAGAGCCAGTCCTGGAGGTCACCTGGGCAACCTGACCAGGTATTTGACCACCTTTACAGTTTAAAAGCAAACATAGGAAAGAAAAAAATCCCACACCTACTTTCTTATGACTAATTGAATTGACCATGTTCAAGCTTCTGGTCCTTCCACTGTGCACCTCCAAGAGAAGTTTTCTTTCCCTGCACTCTCCTTTAAGTGAGCAATAAGGTCTCTCCCTGGCCTGCTCTTCTCAGAGTTGAGCACACTGAGTTCCTCTTTTATGTGCCCCAGACTACACAACTGGCTTGATGGCCCCATACTGGACTCACTCCTGCGTGAAAACATCTTTCTTGTATGGGAGAGACCAGAACTGGACACAAGGCTCCAGATGTGGTCTCAGCAGTGCTGAATGGAGGGCAACAATCACTTCCCTTGCACTCTTGCTACTGTAGCCCCGGGTGCCACTGGCTGACTTCACTGCAAAGAGGCATTGCTGACCCACACTCAACTTGGGCACATCATCCTCCAGTCTTTTTCTCCAAAGATGCTTCCAGCCTGTATCCATCCTATGAAGTTATCTCTGAACAGCAGCCTCTCACTACAGCACACTATTTCCCCAGTTCAGCATCGTCTGATGAGACTGCAGCTCATGTTCCACTGGTTTAGCTGTGGGATATGATGACAGACCATTTCAAAAGCCAGGCTTTTAGTCAAGGTGTACAACATCCATTGCTGTCCCCTGATCCACAGCTCTGGCAAACTGTTTGGTCAGCTGTGATTTGGTAAATCCAAATTAGTTGCTCCCAGTATCTCCTTTTCTCTTCGTATGCTTGGAAATCGCTTCCAGGAACACTTGCATCATAAACCTCACAGGAACAGAGGTGTGCCCAGGCATCTTGTCGTTTCCCAGAACTTCCTTCTTACTCTTCAAGATGGGTGTGATGTTTATCTGTTCTAGTTACCAGAACCCCCTTGTCTGACTTGACCTTTTGAAGGTAGTAACAAGCTCACCTGGTCATCAGCCAGCTGTTCCAGCACCATGGAGGTTTCTGTTCTGGTCTCAGGATTGTGCATGTGCTCCAGGTGCTCTGTCTGCACGTAATGCAGGCTTTTATGGTAAACTTGTGGAGCTGAGGGGCTTAGGGACAGATTTTACTGGTAAAAAGCAAGACAAAGGTAATTCTCTGCTTTTCCCATGTATTTTGTCACTTGGTTTCCT